TCCTACAAATATAAAATGACTACTTGACCTATGACCAGTCATGTAAGTCATAGTGGTCATTTTAGGTCATAGTCCAATACTACCTACTGATGTGTACTATTTTCATAAGATCAAAATATATACCATAACCATTTATTCGCCCAATCCTTCCTAGACATTAACCATCATGCTTTTTGAAATATTCCTTAGTTTGATCTATCTCTCCATTAGTAACATAGGCAATATGCATAGATAATATACTTTGGAATGGATAACTAACCTTTTCTAGATCAGCTATTAACATGAGCTCTTTTCGCATAAATCTGTGAGATAGTGTATATTTCCTATCAAAATAATATAAAATTGGCTCATTCTTTATAATAACAACTTTTCAGATTTTATGAAGACTTGGACTGAATGTAGGATTAGTTGTACGCTTCTGATTCTCTATTCAATCCTCCCATTCTGCATTGGCAAGAAGATAGCAGATTGTATTTCCTTTTTTTTAATTTTATTTTATCTTTTTCAACTGGACGCTTATATTTTGTAAATAGTCTAAATTCTATTTATTCTAATTTAATGGCTTTTACTGGCTCGAGTCCCTACTTTTCTGATTCTGGTTCTCGAATAAGACACATGAAATAATTATTTAGGTAATCAATAATATATGGTATATATCTAACCCATATTTTTATTAATCAAAGATCAGAAGATATCAATTCAACAACATATTGCATTTTATATAAAATTTTCAAGAGTATCTGATTGAAACGCTCTATGAAGGCAAGTCTTCTATGACTATATGGACCAATCACCTGAATTGTAACATCATACTCTTGCATTAGACAGGAAATCTCATCTATAAATTCACGACTTTTGTCACATTGTAGAAGCTTTGACTAGATCAATGGATTATTTCGAGTATTATATACCTTTCTAAATACTTTAGTAACCTCTGAGCTATTCTTTGATGTGAGCAGGATAGAAGCTTTATATCAAAAAGTGCAGTCTATAATGTTAAGTACTGCTTTATATTTTTTACCTTTATAGTGATTATAAGTGAGAATAATATATCGTACTGATGTATATAGTTAGGGTGTGTTATTTGTCTATAGCTGATTCTAGGGATATATTTTGGGAAGGTTTTATTAGTTTGGTATGACTCTTGATTCTCTAAAAAATTTTTGCATTCACTTAAGGGAAATCGATGCCTTTTTTTTACACGCACTTTTTAGAGATTTAGAATTAGGATAATATCTAGTCAGATGATAATATATTTCACGTAATATGATATTTTTTTCAATTCTCTGAGCCTCATCAGGATCTATTTAAATTGTAGAAATCCTTGCTTCTTTACTCATCCTTTTCAAGAAGATCAGATATCAGAAAAATTATCTAAGCTTTATGAAGAGATATTTTGGCTAAAAAAATAGGATTAGTGATCTTATCATAGCTTCATCAAGTAATATACCTGATCTTAGAGGGGCTCTTTCAATACCATTAATGAGAGATTCTTCATCGTTCTTATCGTTCTCATTATTATTAGATCATAATCAACCTTTATCGAGCAATATAACTTCTAACTCATCAGGTGTATCAGAAATACAAGACTATATATATGGAATAAATAAATGTGAAAAAATTAATTATTATGCTACTATCTGGGTAAACTGTTTAAAATGAGTAGGGCATACTGCTGATAATGAAATAAATTTATGCAGAGTTCAGGATTGGTTAAAAAATCTTGAAGACAATCTTTTATAAGCTAAAAGAACAATAGCTAAACATGATAGAGAATTACAAGATATCCAGAATACTTTGGAAGATGCAGAAACCTTAAATAGAATATTACAAAAGGATCTTGCTAGAATAACAGAAAAGTCTCAATCATTTTCTGTGACTTCTCTAGTGAGAGAGTTTCTATTGAAACATTATAAGAAGAATTCAACTGATCTATTGAGCATCATCGCAATTTAAGTGAGCAACTTGATGAAGATTTATTGGCTAGTATTTCATCTTTAATACTACCTCCAGTAGAGCCAGAAGAAAACTTATCTCTTCAAGAAGTTTGCTAATTATTAGAGAAAAAGTATGAGAAAACTTTAAAGGTTATAGGCCTTGCTAATACTACAGAAAAAAAAGTTCAAGAATTAATATGAATTATATATGATGAAAGTCCTTCTCCTTCTTCTGAAATGTCAAATTCTCATTTAGAATTTGATGATGAGATTTTAGATAATTTAGGGGATAATACTGATGTTTTAAAAGATTTTATGCCTGATTTCCCATTCTATGATGAAGATATAGAAGCTACTAATGATTAGCTAGAAGAAGAGAAAGCTAGATTATTTTGAGAAAATACTTACCTATTTTTATTTTTCAATTTCAGATCTGCAAGGTTAGGACAGTACAAGATTTATAGGTTAATACAAGGAGAAATAATTGACAACTGAATACTCAACTACGTGAATGTCAAGGTAATAGGAGATATTAGAATATAATCAAAATCAGCCTTTTGATAAATATAAGAAATGGAAAAATAAAATACATGAAGAATGCCAAATAATATTTAATTTACAGGGAGAAATTTTAGCATTACAGAATAATCCACTAAACTGGATAACACTCTTATAAGAGTGTTATCCAGTTCTGCTATAATGTTATCTAGTTCTGAGTAAACTGTTACCTAGTTATGAGTAGATTGTTACCTACTTACTTGTTTTCGTGTTCTATGGCCTTTTTATTGCTTTATTGCTTCTTTGCGTTTATAGCATTGCTTTAGCTGTTTCAATATCTGGTTTTATGTTAAGGATGCTGGCCTCCTGCGCCTGATTGGATGCTGGATTCTATGTTGGAGTGCTTCCCCTTTGCGTCTATTTGGTTGCCTTTCTAGATGCTGAAATCGTGTAAAAAAAGGTGATGGGTAACACAGTAAATTTGATGTAAATCTGCGTCTAAATTTGGTCAGTACTATAGCATAATTTCTGATTGATCTTTTGGGCATATAATCTGAAGGATCCAAGTTGGTATCATAGTAGCGTCATAGAAGTGGTAAGGAACTAGTATAGTTCTATTAGTTTACCAGTTCCATATGCTTGTTTGGATACCAAGTTATTATGCCCTTAGCCTGATCCATTTGATTGCCAGAAGTGTACTATTTGCGATCCAACTATTACATCAGTATAAATATGCCATTTTCGCATCCTGAAGTTCAAATTATTATCACGTGATTCAATACATAATTTTACGAGATGTTGTTAGACCATTGTTACAAAACGAGTAAACATAATATTTATCTTATTCATCTTATAAAGTATATTCATATTCCGTAAGTGTTTCTATCATATTTCATCTTAATCGAATATAAAGTAAATATTGGGCATAGTAATATTCATGCGAGTACTACATGTAAAAAAGTTCAATTTGTGTACACCTATTTATTAGTACTTTGTTAAGTTTTTGCGAAGTGCCAGTGTTGTGCCATTTTTATAATCCTGCCTTTCGTGACCATCTTTTGATTGCTGAGAATGAGACACAAAGTGCTGAATTAGTTTAGGCTATATTGCTTTCATACCCTTTTTTATGCATCTTTCTGAGCCTTTTTGCTTTCCTGATCTCTTTTCTACCTATCGACGGTACTACGCCAAAGCAAAATTTTCTTATCTCTTTCCTTATTTATTATTCTACCTTGACATAGTATCAAATCTATGCTATATTTTAGGTTTCTAGAAATCTTTCTCATATACAGTCAACTCTCTATAAATGCACCCCCCTCAGGACCAGACATAAGCATGCATTTATAGAGGGTGTGCATTTATAAAAAA